TATATATATATATATTATAATTTCTATTTTCATATAATAATTCACAGATCAAATCTACATTAATAGATTTTCCTTTTAGTGCCTTAAATCTTTCTCAATCAAAAATTATATATTTTTCTTTCTCGATATTGAATTTTATATAGACTTTTCAATCTATTGAAAGAATCCTAAATTCTCTGATTTCTCTAAATTAGAAAACCATTTTTAAGATCGAAATCATTCACAATCTTATATGCTATTGCTACGGACATAATCAATCTACAGAATATATTATAAAATTTTTTGGAACCCACAAATCTAAATATTCATAATCATATCAACTCTTACGAATTATATTTTATGTATANNATGTATATATATACATATATATTTTTTAATTTCTCAATACAAAAGCCTTTTGCAATAATGTAGCCTGCAATCTATAACAGAAATTCAACAAATTCAGTTCTATAATATAATATACGAAATATATCTTTTTCGAAGAAAGAAAAACTCGTGAATAATTATCACAGAATAGATTAATCAAAACATCGAGAACAATATCGAATTTTAGAATATAATAGAAAAAGCCTATTTATGTAATTTCAGATATTTTCATACCATTTAATATATTATAAGAATAATAAAGCCAGAAGAAATCTCGATGGGGCTCAATTGTTTTTGCCTTTCCCCAATAAGTTAAAGCAGTAGCAAATGTGTACATGAACATATATATATACATATATATGTATGCATATATATATATATGTGTATATATATATATATCGACGCGATGAAGTCTTGCTGTAACAGAAAGCACGGTATTATGTGGACCAAGTGGTCTGAGCTGACTTGAGTAGGCATTTGGATTTTCTCGGAGGCATTCTCTCTCTGGCCACCTGCGCAGGCGACTTAGGATTCAGGATTCGACGTGCGAGTTTTGAGTTGATTGCTCCTGCCTAAGACCCTAAAGCCCTGAACATGAAGATGATGCCCTCAACTTGAAGTCTCCTAAAACCCCCTTACAAGGGCTTAGGGTTTAGGCTTGCGATGCTTTGGGCCCAGTTTTGCTGATTCCGGTTAGGGCTGATTACTCTCTGCAGGTACAGGTGGATTCAAGCGAGCTTGGCAGCAGAAGTTGAGCTTCACTGTGACTGCTTCGCACTGTCTTTGCCAGCTGAAGATACATCTTGCACAAGACCATATCTGTACATGTCCCGGCACTGGGCAGACAAGAAAATCGGTTTGTACAAGGTACAGGGGCACAGGGCTGCAACAAAAATGCGGCACTGAACGAAAATCTAAGATTGCATGCAACAACCGATGCGATGTGAATATGGCTCAGGCCCCGACTAAAGTGTCGTGAGCAGCCTCTGGGCTCTGGCGTTTTCCTGTCCAGCGGCGGCGGGGTTCCTCTGGAGGCACTCCGGGAGACTTTCCCTTCCCCTTCCCCTTAAGGCCCTTCTGTGGGCTGTCAACATAGCAAGCTCTTGCCATGGTCACGCCGTGGCCGAGACGACCATTTGAAGGGCAATCTGCAAACTTCAGACCGTTGTCATTCACAACCCTGCACCTGATCCGCCCATCGGGTCCGGGCCCAAGGACAGTATATGCGTACTGAAAGCAACCAGGGTTCATGTTGAACTTGTCGTCCTCTGGGTCAATGCGCTTCGCATGGCATCGTTGGAAGAGGTCTGGCTTTTCTTGCTGCAGCCGGCGGTGGTCCTGAATCTTCACATGCACAAAATCAAAAGGACAAGGATTCTGATCGCCCCTGCCCTCCGGAGCAGAAGCATCAATCTTCAGGACGCCCATGCACCAAGCCCGGGCACTCCCAAAGCGAAGAAGGCAGTCGCCTGGGGCCATGCGCACTTTCAGCCACTGTCGGTCCGACTTGTCGTACTTGAAGCCTACTGTAACAGCCGCACGGCCGAGGAACAGAAAAGCTTTGGGTGTCCCATCTCCATCTTCACCACGTCGGCAACAGCGATCGTCGTCGTAAGCTGTTCCGCACAAGGTGCCTTTGATGACCCTTCCTCCGAGATTCTCATAGCTGACGGAAACGAACTCGGGCTGAAACTGTGGCTTGTGAGTGGCAGAGCTACGAGGTGCTGCTTGCTGCATACCTTTCAACATCTCCTGACATGCTTTCGTCTGGCTCAGTGGCAGGTGGTGGCGGCCGTGAAAGCCCATGTCATCCAACAACATGTCTTCCTCAGTTTGGACATGCCATGTCCGACCATGGCAGCTTTCAACCGTGTACTCGCCTTTCGATCCTTGCTCTTTCCATTTGGCTCTTTCCTCTTGTGTCATGAGGCCACCGCACTCCCCCTCGCATCCCTCACCGAATACACTTCGGAAGAGTAGGTCCTGTGATTCGTGGCTCAGGCCCCGGAAACACAGGAGTTCAGTATCCAACTCCTCGCATGTGCGAAATGCCATTGCGGTCATGGCGGCGGAGGAGGCGCAAAGGAGATCCCAAACCCTGGGCTTCGGCTCACAATCTATGTTGCAAAGTGTTCTATCTTCGATAGCATAAGTATAATTAAGTGTGTGTATATACATATATATATATATGAATATTTCACCGTGTATATATATATATATAGCAAAAAATAAACAAATAGTTCCCGGACCTTGCTGGCCGTACAGAAGCTGTCGCTAGCTGTGCGTCGTATAGTACTTGGCCGGCAATCTCAGAGCTCGAAGCCGAAAACTGAAGCAAAAAGTACCTTAGTCCGAAACCTAAAACAAATATGCACGACTCATAGCGTTGGGATAAAGGGTCGGGGTCAGGGGGGGCGAGGGCTGAACAACTTGTTTAAAGGCGGTTAACCTTAGGGAAGTAGCAGCAGTAACAGCTTCAGTTCTCCCTCGCAAGTTCCCCATTGCACCGCCAAGATCCGTTTTCTCCCGGTCCGTACGCAATCAATCTATCGTGACTGAGCCGCACACCCGTACGACATCGGATAGCCATGCCCGCCAGAACCTCCAGTAGCTTTCGGACGCATTTGACCTTGCAGATGCAGCATTTCTTGGCAGAAAGGTTCTGAGCTATGTGGAATCAAGATCTTGAGGGTTTGGGGGCTGAGGCTGGAAACTCACGCGAGACAGGGACGCCTTCTCCAATGCAGTACTGGATCAAGAGTCGATGCAGGTGTCATTAGACTAGTTGGGTTTGCGGAACAAGGATAAGGAAACGCGTGGTAGGGGCGTGTAAACGGGTAGTTCACAAAATTTGGCTCCCTTTTCGGGTCTTGTTTATAAATTTGGGACTTAAAACCGGACCCTAGTTTAGAGAACTACCCACATCTCCTTGGTTTTTGACATGTGGCACCTACCACTTCGACGTGACAAATTTTGGGTTGGGGTGTAGCAGAAGACTCTGAATCCTGAATCGGAGCTCGAGGTTAGAAGGCTCACAAACGACTTGCTTACTCGCACGACCCTTGAAGTTCTAAACCATAAACCCTGAAATCTGAACTGTACAACCCTCCCGACAAACCCAATCAGACAGCGTTTCTAAGATAACGGCACCCTGAAGTGTAGGAGTGGTGGAGTCCTGGCTAAATATCAACTTTGGGGTTTTGGGAGCTCAAGGGCGTAGGATGCTGGGAAACCCTAAACCCAAACTGCTTAGGCCGCCCACCTCCGGTGGGCGGTGCTGAAGCCCCTGGACCTCGATGGAGCAGAGCCCGCCAACCCTGAACCCTAAACCTAAACCCTAAGCCCGGGTTGAGGCTCGATGCGTTCAAGATTTGCTGGTTTAGGGGCTTGTTTACGGGATTAAGGGTTTTGGATTTGGGGTTGCAGGAAAAGGCACCAACGCATGAGCCCCTAGTTGTTGAGGGCGGCAGGACTGAACTAGATCCTAAACTAGAACACCCTAAACCCTAAACGCCGAACCCTACTCCGAAGCTCCACATGCCTGAAACCACCAGGCCATGCACCCCAAAACCCCTACACTGCAGAGTACGCAGCCGAAGACACGAAGCAAGTTAGAGCAGTGATACCCAAAGACCTCCCAACTGATAGCCTCAGGGTTTACGATTCAGGGATTCTGCGCAGTTCAGGATTGTGGAGTTTAGGGTATAAGGCTTCAGAGATGACAGTTCAAGGGTGTTGGAGTTTAGGGTTTAGGATGTTGGGTTGGACCCCCTAAGCCCCAAACCCCTAAACCCCTAAACCCTAAACCCCTAAACCCTAAACCTTAAACCGCTAAATAGGCCTTAGCTTTACGTAAGGCTTAGGGGCTTCTCCAGCGGCCTCCATCACCAGGTAGGCAGACTCCTGAGGCAAAGCCCACTGTTGCCACTGTTAGCTTTCCAGACGAAGGCCCTAAACAAATAGTAATAATACCAATAATAATATAGTAGTAGTAATAACAATAAATATAATGATGATACTACTACTACTACTACTAATAATAATAATGATAATAATAATAATAATAGTAATAATAATACTAGTATTAATAGTAATAACAATAATAATACCCCAAGGCCTGATGCTTTGTAGAGTTTTGGAAAGCTACCCTAAGCCCAAAACCCCGTAATCCAAAACCCCCCATACGCTGCAGTGTAAGGTTTATGGGGTTTAGGTTTTGCAGTTGGGAAGCCTTTGTCACTTTGGCAGCAGCGAGGTGTCGAAGCATCTCCGCCGGAGAGTGAAACTGTAGGCCCTAAACCCTAAAAGGTAAAAGCCCTAGAACCCTGAACCCTAAGCCCTAAACCCTAACCCGAGTCCTACGAGTTGTTATGCGGCCTCATGGTTTGGAGCCGACACGCGCTCAAGAGTCTTGTTGTCGACTAGAAGGGCCTGAAGAAGCAGAATGGCGTGCTGGATTATGGTAATAGCATAATATAGAGTGCTACTATAAGGCTTCCTCTAAGGTGTCCCAAGGAGTAGGCTAAAAACACCCAGGCCGGGCTGACCCCACTATCCCCAACCCTCACCTACTGCCTAGAACTGTGTTGTGATCCACCCAGTAGGAGGCGCCATTTTCCTTTCGCAAGACATACGAAACCCAGAACCCACACAAGCTCCTAAACCCTAAACCCTACTGTAGAGCCTAGAGCACCAAATACAACAAAACCTCCAGCCGAAGGCTCTTCAACCGGCCCACCATCTGGCCGAGGGTGTAGCGATAGGTCAGGGCGTTCCCTGAGAATGAGGGCTAAGCAGGCTCCGAGTTGCGGCTAAACCCTAAACAAGTAACTTTCACCCTGAACCCTATAACCCTATAGCCTTATGATTCATCGTTTTCAACTGGGATGCTTCGAATGTGAAGTTCAGAGTCATGCGTTCTGCTTCGGTTGAAACTGTGAGGGTTGGAACAAGCTCACACCTGTCGAAGGCAGTTCTTGCGGGCATCTGACACCGGAACTCCACAAAAATTGAGGAATTCCAAACGATAACCGCCAGAAACAAAAAAAGTCTGAGAGCCGTAGACTCCACGGTCTTAAGCGCTACAGCCCTAAAGCCCCAAACTCCCTATACCCTGAAGCCCTTCATCTCTCCTAAAACCTCCGAACTCCGACCCTAAACCCTTAAACACTTCACCCGCAAGCCAAGTGGGAACCCTGCAAGGAACTCATAACCGTTTGAAAGCCCCCAAAATCCTAAATCTAAAGCACAAAAATCTTCCAACGCTACAAAATTCCTTGTGACAGCATATAAAAACCCTAAACGCTAAACCCCGAACCAAAAGCGGCCAGGCTTCGCTTGACTTGGCTCTGAATCTCACGCCACTCCTTTGAGCGCGCCTGGAGAGGGTGCATCGCAGCTCCGAAGATCTCCAAAACCCCATATCTAAAAGGCAGTGTCGGCGAACAAGGGACTCTTCCGTTCAATGGAACCTTAAAGAATCGGATCCGTCGCCTGCAGAAACGCCCAAAAAGGACCTCTAACATCAAAAGCCCTCTATATCTTGGAGCTCGCATCTCGCAAAACTTGCGAACGATTTGCAACGATTCCGCCTCCGCTCCTTATGGTTTAGGTCTTAGGGCTGAGGGTTAGGGCGGCCGGGGTTTGGGCTAACCGTCAGACCTTTAAACGCGAACCCCTTCACTGCACCTTCTGGACCATAATAGATTAAGCCCTCTGCGTAGGATCCTTGCTTTCAATAGCACGGCCCCCAAAACCCCAAATTCCCAAGCCCTAAACGTCCAAGCCCTCCAACCCCAAGCCCAAACTCTACACTCCGAGACTTGCCCCACAAGCACACCTAGACTCGAAAATGCTGAAAGCAACCGTATGACGCCCTGTCATAAATTAAAACCCTAACACACCGAAGCCTTAATGCCTGAACCCTTTAAGAGCAAAGGCTTCACTCATCAGCTTCTTTCAAGCCAGCTTCGACTTCGACAACTCTCAGCAGACCCTACCCCCAGTCGTTAGAATAGGGTCTTGGGGTACATCATAGAATGTCAAGAATAAGGAGCCCCAAGATAGTGTTGGTAGTTACTTGGGCCCCCAATATTACTTCTTCTGAGGATCCCTAAAAAAGACCTAAAGCCCCAGGCCACCAAGAGCGGAATTGCAAGCCCCAATAGACCAAGCCCCCAACTGCGCCTACCTTAAAGACCAAGCTAAGCCGTAAACCTAAACACCAAGGCTGCACTAAGCCCTAAACCCCAACGGCCAGAACCCGGACGGCCAGAACCTACAGACAGCCTAGTCGGTAGACCCCAAACCCGATAGGCAAGCCCCAGTAATAAGGCCCTGAACTTAACCCTAAAGGCTAGCCCCAAAGGAGGCATAAGGGATCATTATTACTTCTTCTCATACACACCGACTATTTTTAGCCTGAGGGATGTAGAAAGAGCACCTCGCAAGCGGGAATCAAGTCGGACTTGTCGGTGGGGTTGGACGCATTCTGCACCAATCTGAAGCCTGTGGGTTTGGGGTTTAGTGGTTCAACCCTAAACCCTATGTAAGCCCAAAACCATGAAGGCCCAAACTGCAAACCCGCAAGTCCCCAATCCCTCAACCACATACTCACCCCTGCACCCTAAACCCTAAACCCTGGGCTCTGCCCAGAACCCTTCAACACCCGAGCCCCAACAGCATACACCCTAGAACTCAACAACCAGCAGCCTGAAATCCAGAGCCTGAGAGCCACAACCCCGAGCCAAGAGTATAAGGGTTCAGGGCGTAGGGTTTAGGGATGTAGGGGCAAAGGGTTTGGGGCTTAGGCCTTCATAATCAGAATGGGCTTTTGAGGTATTTTCGAGTACTCTAAGCATGAATGGACTGAAAGGTTTTTGGGCGCTTCGTGCCTGAAAGCTACCAGTTGGGCTTAGGTCTTTACAATACCTTTCGTATGCGCGGCACTTCAGCTTTATATAGGGGCCTTACTAATTAGAATAGGGTTTTGGGGTGTTTTCTACGGTAATAATTATAATAAGGACACCCCGAAATGGCATTGGTAATAATTTTGGCCCCTATATTATCCGTGTTCGGACATCCGACCTGTTCTGTATTGCTAGCAAGCCAAGCCGGCACACCAAACCCTACACCACCCTAAATCCAAAACCCTGAACCCTAAACCCCAATAAAAGCCCTAGAACCCTGAACGGTCCAAGAGGCAGTGATTTTCCTGCGCAGGCTTGGTGGGGTCGGAGGTGACTGGCTAATTACTTAGTTTCGGGCTTGGGGTTCAGGGTAATGTCTCTGTTGCCCTGACCACCAAAGATGGATTTGAATAGGGTTTTAAGGATGGGACCATTTGGGATTGCATGCGCAGGGTTCAGGATTTGAAACACGTAGTCGCTCAAGGAGGCGGAGGAATAGCAACAGTGGCATCAGCAGGACTACTGACAGTAGTCGCAGAAGCAGCAGCAGGAGGAGGAGGACATGATCGCATGCTTGTAACACAGCTGGTGTTGAGCGCTTGGAGTTTGTGTCGATGGGCATTAGCCTGCGGCCATACCAAATGCAATGAACAGAGGTCGCAAGCATTTTCCAGTGATCGCCTGGCTGTCCGATGCTGCTTGTACAAAACCTTTGATCAAGCGGCTTCGCTGTTGTGTTGTTGATGACTGCAGTGCTCCCATCCATGGTCCAAGAACTAGGAAAGCGGAGCGAATCGCACACCGACAAGGCTGCAGTCACAAGTTTGAGGCGTAGTGTCCACTCTTTGGCAATTTGGCCTAGGCTCGCTGAAGGACCAGGACGACAGTCAAGCAGGTGGACCGAAGAGTAAAGCTGAGAGTTTTGGCAATGGCCGAGCTTATGTATGTAGCTGCTTGGGTGGCGCCAGTTGAATCGAAACACCATCGATGGTCCAGGTGGGATTCATCAGAGGGCTTGAGGATCTGAGCAGTATCTCCGTTGTTTAGGCACCTGGGTTTAGGGTTCGGGGTAAAGCCGCTCATAGCGATTGTGATTGATCACTTTTGAAAGTTCCTGGTGTTATTACCAAGATTGTTTTCTTTGCTGTCATGTTCCTGCTTCTACTGCTGCTGATGATGTCCTGTAGGTGATGTGAATAAGGTTCCTTCTTGTCGATTTGCGAGAGGATTCCGGCTGTGGCCAGGCAATCATCTTATGTCGATGGCGTTTCTACTTATCTTCACTGGATTGTTTGGCCTTGTCTTGTTCCGATTCTGAGAGAAATCCTAAACCCTGTGCCCGAAACCCGAGACCCTGCACTGCCTGGGTTCTGCGTAGGGGCGTGCAGAGGCTAAAGTCTCAAAGCTAAATTCTGGAACCGCCCACACCCTAGACCTAAACTTTTAAAGCTGCAAACCTAGAATCGGTACTAGAAGCTGCAAACCCCGTACCTAGCCCCTTACGCCCTAAAGCACCAAATCCTAAAACCTAGACCGCAAGCCCTAGAGTCCTGAACCCCCCAAAACCCTGAACCAGAAAAAACCTGAAGCAGGGTCCTTGCACTGACAGTACCGCTCTTCATCGTCCCCGAGGCACTCGGTGTTCTCCAACTGAGTGGTTCTGAACTCAATAGTAAGTAGTAGCGCACCTAATCATGAAACGGTCGTTGCCCACAACTAGCTTTATTACTGTCACTGCCGCTGGCTACGAGTTTTGGATTTAAGGCTTCAAGGTATTAGAGTCACTCATGGACCACCTCTGTTGATAAACACCCTTGCCATGGAGGATGCTCAAGGTGTGCTCATCAGAACAAAACGGAACATGCCTCTTTATGATAAGGTCCGAGCTGCTTAGCTCCGTGGCACCAAACTGCCTGTTCCTGAAGTTTAGGGTTACGGGTTTAGGCAACCCAAAACCCAGAAGCCACCGAAACAACAAACGCCTAAACTGTTACTCTCATACCCAGGGTGAGGTTTTTGCTATATTGATTAGTAGTACGACCAGTATTATTGCAATAAGTCTTATCACTACTAGCGCTATTCTTCTTAGTATTCCCTTACTACTCATGGCTATAAATTACCATTACTCTCTTCCTAGAACGTTCATTCTTACCCTAAAGCCCTAAAACCCTAAACCTTCGGGCACCTGGGGCGCCAGCCCAGCAGTCGAGGTTGCTTGTGCAGGTGCCGAAGGGGTCAGAGGAGCTGGCTTTGTCAGCGGCACCTCGGAGCTGAAAGTTTGGGGTTCGAGGGTTTATAGGGTTTTAGGGGTTTTTTGGTTTTACGGTTTAGGGCTTTAGGGTTTTTGGGTTTTAGGGTGTTAGGATTTTAGGGCTTTAGGGTTTTAGGGTTTAGGGCAACAGAGTTTAGGTCTTAGGCGGGTTTGGGCCACTTCGGCTTCGGGGTTTAGGGCTTGGTGAAGGTTTAAGCCGCTTTGGCGTATGGAATGCTCCGATTTGCAATCGAACCCCTGAACCTTTAAGCCTGTAGTTCGCTCATAGTTCCCTCAAAGGACTCTTGAACTAACCCCAAAGCCTACCTTCTTCATGATCGAACCGAAGGCGCAGAGGTAGACAAGTTGATGAAGCAGCCAAAGGTTTAGGGTCCTTAAACCCAAAACTCCGAGTCGACGTCTTCGGGCTGCGCATGTCTAGAACCAAAATGGCAGAACCGGTGATTCTTGAGGCCCCGATGCTATCGCCCTGGAAAGCCCCTCACCCCAAAACCCTACACCCTTCAAAGGAGTCCTTAAAAGGAGCCCTCAGAGGATTCCTTCAAGGAGCCCTTAAAGGAGTCTCCTTAAAGGGGACCAACAAGCTTCACCTCCAACCGAAAGCCTCTGAGACCGGAGCCCCAACTCTAAAACTCTGAGCCTTCAGGTCCAATATGGCCTTGGGGTTTAGGGTTTAGGGGTTTAGGGGTTTAGGGTTTCAAGAAGGGTTCTTCAAGGGGCGATTGAAAAGGGCGCTTTTATGGATTGTTTGGTATGGGTTAGAGGAAGAGCTCTGTCAGGGGTTCCCGGGCTTTTGCAAGAACTGACCCCAAACACTGAAGCCGGTTGTTCTGCTTCAGCGCTCAAAAAGCCGGTCACCCTTCACTCAAGCAATACACCGGGAATCGAACGCCTTTCCGAGCACTAAACCATAAACCCATTCAGGCCACACCCCTTGATTTTTCGGCGATCCTTTCACCTTTGGCTCTCTGAACCCCAACAACACCTAAAGAACCCCTGGTAGGAATCCTCAACCCTCAACCCGAAAGCGCTTAGGGAACCCCCGATAGGAATCTCTACAAGAAGCCGTGCAGTCATCTTTAGAGTAGCCCGTGTAGTAGCCTTCTAGTACCCCCATATGGTAAGCCTTGACAGAACCCTTACCTGACGGAACGCCAAACCCCAAACTCCGTAAACCCTGAACCCTGAACCTCACCCTAAGCTCCTAGACCCCATTCGGCCCCTGCTCCCTACAGCCCTCAACCCTATCAACCCTAAATCCTACCCTTAAAGGGTTCCTTCAAGGGCTCCTGTAAAGAGGGACCCCATCATAGAACCCTTGTAGCACCTCCCCCGGCCGCCACGAGGATCTTCAGCGCCAGTGCTTCGAGATCGTAGGGCTGAGCGACTCCAAGATTTAGGGTTCATGGTTGGGGGGGGGGGGGGCGGCTTAGGGTTTAGGGTTTATTG